GGGGATGCTATAATGGTTGTAAGGGTGAAAAACAATCATTAGTCACTTTTTTCCAGTGCCCTTTGGAACAGTCACTAAATGAACTGTTGTAAGTCAAGAACTGTAACCTTCTCTCCTTCCAAAGCTCTGTTCCAAAAGGCACAAGAAATGGGCTCCAGGAGAAAATCCATGCCTGTCCAATTTTAGTTCCAACATGAGCAGTTATCTGATTCATCTGAAATAGAGGCTAAATGTGGCAAATCCATATTGGGCAACTACACCTGTTGTCCTCTATGCCAGCCAAAAATGGCCAGATCAAATGAACACAACGTATTTCTATGCTGGTAGATACTACATCTCTCCCTAACCCTAGCCTTTGTTTTGCAAAAGTTTCCACAGCATTGTAACTTTAACTCTGCCAAAAACCTGTGGGAAGAAAGGACCAACTAGAATAAATATGTATTCTCCCCTCCCTACATTACTCCCTAGGTTGAGGGAGTGAATTTTCCAAGGCCAATGTTGGTGTGGGAGATAATTTCACACATAGAGTGAATCATTGGACAAAGTAAAATAAAATAAAATAAAAAGTTTAATCTCACCTTTCTTCATTGTATCTGAATGTCAAGCTGGTTTGAGAGAATCCCTTGGAAATTAATAGGAAGATATGGGAGGGTGCTAAAGAGAATTTGACCCATTTTCTGTGCATAAACCAGGATGATTTTATAATAAGAGAAGACCTGGGTATGCTTTTTTTTTAATTACACAGCTTTTCCTAACAACCCTGATTTTTACTTGTATCACTGTTGGTCTCAATGAGCAACTCATCTGCCTTTTGGTGCTGTGCAGTTAATCATGCATTAATTAGGTTGTTAAGTCCCCATCTCTTCAGAGAGCAAGATAATTGTGTTTATGAATTGCTGATATCACCCTCCTGAGTAATTCCCTTTGGAGCACTTTCAATTTTGACAACTTAGGAAAGAAGTGTTGCCTTTTGGGTTTTCCTGAATGAAATTCAGATGTGGGCATCAGGGGAGGGTTCATTTGAAAATGAGCAGTAAAAGAGAAACACGTTTCTCTACATAACAGAAAGGAGAGGAAAACATTGAGGAGTGGAGGTAACTGAGGAGTGTGTATGTGAGTCAGGAAATTCCAGACCAGAAAGAGTTAATTTAATCTAAACCTGCCAATCTAGATAAAAGAGGGAGATGGCTTAACCTTGAAAATTCAAATTCTGAGCAACTAATGTGAAGCAGAAAGGTCATCCTCTCTCATAAGTGAGCTCTTAAAACTGGTCTAAGTTCCATTTTGCCTCAGGCCTTTGCTTTCCATCACAGGGTTGGAAAAATACAAAGATTACAACTATCTTTGTATTTTTACATGGGAGTGACTTAGCCTATTTTGTTGACACCAGTTCTATTTTGCTTCCCTCTATTATGTACGCATGTTCTTGAAATACTAATTATAAATTAAAGCCTGTAAGATTCATTTTCTCTTTCTCTTACTATCTTCAAGCATAAATTACTTCCTTGGTTCAAACATCTGCTCTTGCCAAGGTCTTGTCTTGATGTCTGAAGGCTGTTGGGAGTCAGAGCTGAAGCTCAACCTTGACAAGGCCCAAGTGGCTGTATTTGTACCATTCATGTCTGGAGATGTTCTCAGTCCTAAATGGCAGCACTTTCCCCCCTATGCATTGTTATACAAATTGGGAGTCTTTGGGCTCCTAGCTCCTGTTTTCAGGAACATAGGGTAGCTGTGGCCAGGAAATACTTTTCACAAATTTATCTAGTATAGGTAGTGTCCCCAAGGTGCTTTTTCAAGAGGCAACTGGACTTTCTGATTTTTCTTTGAAGATGTTTCACTTCTCATCCAAGAAGCTTCTTCAGCTCTGACTGGATGGTGGGGAATAGAAGGATTTATTATAAGTCCTTCCATTCCCCACCATCCAGTCAAGAGCTGAAGAAGCTTCTTGGATGAGAAGTAAAATGTCTTCAAAGAAAAACAAAGTCCAGTTGCCTGTTGAAAAAGGCACCTTTGGGACAACCATGACCTGGATGACTGAGATTCTCCACAGACATCTCATATAGGTATCCTCGACCTATGGCTATAATTGAGGACACAATTGCTGGTGTAAGTTATGATGGTCTTTAAACAGGTCACCCCATGACTGTGTCTGATTTTACAGATTTTTTGTGGTGTTTTTTAAGTGAGCATGGTGATTGCAAAGCAAACACTGTGGTCGTTAAGGGAACCTGTTGTTCATTATGGGATTTTTTTTTTAGGACACTGGAAGTGAATGCTAGTTGCCAACAAAAACATTATAAATCACAGCTGTGCGAGTGGGTACAAAATGTGTGCCAGTTGCCAAGTGTTCAAAATGTGGTCACGTGACTAATGGGGGCACGGCCTTTGGAACTTCAAATCCAGGGCATAAGTAACTTTCTGGAGTTTGTCATAACTTTGAACAGTTGCTAAAGCAATCAGTCATAAATCAAGGACTACCTGTATTTCAAATGCACCCATTTATGGTCAGCTTGCATTTGGATTATTGCAAATTATAAGCATGCCACAATATACCCCTCTTACACTTCTGCTTTGTGGCTCCTATGGTTACTAATAAATTTCCAAGTGTAATTCAAGATGGCATACAAGGCCCTTTATGGCATTGGGCCTAGTTACCTCAGGGATCATCTGTCTTTTGTAGTTTTGTTCATCCTTTACATACTGACAGAGTCATCTTGTTCCAGACCCCATACCTTAAATAGTATCACCTGACAGGACTCAAAGGGTGGACCTTCTCTTCCATAATCTCTGTCCCTTCAAATGATATTTCCTTACCACACCCCCAAGCTTTGTATGGCTCTCCCCCCAGGAGGACCTTGAGGTTATGAGGGGTAATGGATCCCTTGTGGGATATTTGTTAGAAGTTGTGTCATTTTCCTAGACATCCATTTTTTGTATTGTTTTTGTTGCATTGTCTGGAATGGTTTATATCAGGGGGTCTCCAACTCAAGGCCCGTGGGCCATCCGGGTTCTTAGTTCTGGCCTGTGGGGCCACCTTGGAAACAGCGAAGGACCAGCCCACGGGTCCTCTGCCAGTGAAAATGGAGCTCAGGAGGGCCATGTGAGGCCCTCCCTGGCTTCATTTTTGCTGGTAGAGGGTTGCAGGAGGCCATCGCAGCCACAAAGGGAGCTTGCAAGGGTTGCGTGTGGCCCTCCTGAGTTCTGTTTTGGCTGGCAGGAGTTACAGGAGGCCATCACAGCCGAAAATGGAGCACAGGAGCCCATTTTTGCTGGCAGAGCACTCAGGCCCCCACAGGTGTCCCCAACATGAGTGACACCAAGTTGGCCATGCTCCCCACCCCTCCACAAGGACAAACACAACACTGATGCGGCCCTCAATGAAATCGAGTTTGACACCCCTGGTTTATATTGTCCACTACTCAGAATTGCGATGGAGTTAGCTAACCTATACATTTACTAAACACAGATAATCCTTGACTTGCAACAGTTCATTTAGTGACTGTTCAAAGTTACAACGGCACTGAAAAGGCGACTTATGATTGTTTTTCATACTTATGATCATGGCAGCCTCCTTCTAATGGTCACATGATCAACATTTAGATGCTTGTCAACTGACTCATAGTTATGACCGTTGCAGTGTCCTGGGATCATGTGATCAACTTTTGTAACCTTCTAATAAGCAAAGAGAATGGAGAAGCCGAATTCACTTAACAACCATGTTATAACAACTGCAGTATTCACTTAACAACTGTGGCAAGAAAGGTCATAAAATGGGGCAAAACTGACTTAGCAAAACCTACTTAGCAACAGAAATTTTGGGCTCAATTGTGGTCATACATTAAGGACTACCTGTACACAAATAAATTCCTATCATCCCCAAACTCTGGATGTATTAACCAAAGTTGGTAGGTTCTACAGTCCAAGCAATCTCTGGAAAGCAGTTACGGTCTTACTAGAAATGCTGTGAAATGTATTAAGGCTGGGGACCTCGCTGATAGAAGGAAGCGTTTTCATCTCCAAAGCTGCCACCTTTCCAGAGAATAAGGCACATGGGATGCTGCAGCTGCTAATTGAATCCCCATGGAGGCATGAACAGCACAACCACATAAAATCTAACAAACAGTTCTGAAAATCTACCTGTAGTTGAAATAAATGTTAAGTATTATTCCACAGCCCAATGTATTTTGGACTCAAATGTCCTTCAGGGCACTGGGCCCACAATACAGGTTCAAGCAGAGTGGCTTCTGAGCCCCAAGAGGTTAACTGAACATCACTATTTTTATTTTTGCAATCTGTTCTACATTGTCCTCTGTGTAATTTGAATTATTATGCTTTCTTATAACAAAATTGAAATAAATAGGTGGAAGAGAGGCTCTGTGGATATGGAGACAGGCATAGTTTGGATTGTGTTTTGTAAAATATTGCTTCTGTCTCATTATTGACAGGCTAAAGGTGTATAGCTATAAGATGAGATGGCAAATTTTGCAGTTCATCCTAGGACACCCTTAGGGCATTCTAGTATAAATTCAAGTTCAGCTACAAAATACTGTGATAGTTTAACCCTTTATATTTAGGTCTCCAAACTTGGAAACTTTAAGTCTTGTGGACTTCAACTCCCAAATTAGACTAATTTCTTCAGCAGTCTAATTTCTAGAGGAATTGCTTTTTAAAGAAATATATTGTTATTTATTGGGCAATTCAGACTCTAAGGAGAAGATTTGTTGACTAAATGCGGTCAGGGTGAATGATGCCTATACTCATTAATTCTCCAATTATATCAATTTTCAAAACAGAATTTGTTCTGCTTTGCGATTTTAAATAAATATCTATCCTAAAATTTGTTATTGTTGTCATGAGGATGTTGAACAAGGTTATGCACAATTTGCATATTTAGTGTATTTTATTCAGTTAATAGTATAAAGGTTTTTTTCTTATTTTTGCAAATACAAATTTGCAATCTGTTCTACATTGTCCTCTGTATAATTTGAATTAATATGCTTTCTTATAACAAACAAAACCCTAACATGTGTCATTTGGTGCATAAAAAGAAAAGATTTTGAATCAAGTTCGAATCTCAGTCATTTCACAAATGCTGTATCTTGCTACTTATATTGTTTACTCAGTATCCTAGTACGATTTATGTTGATTGCTTATTTAGTATCAATTACTATCACTAAGTGTTGTATCTAATGTTTTATGATGAATGTGTTTTTAAAATGACTATGATAATGATCTATCCCTATTGTTGTATGTACACTGAGAGCTTATGCACCAGAGACAAATTCCTTGTGTGTATCTAATCACACTTGGCCAATAAAGTCTATTCTATATGCCCACAGTTTTCTGGACAAAAATTACAAAATAATTTACTACGCTATTATGAGGGATGTTTTTCAAATTCCTACTTTTTCCATATACCTGGAATTTTCTGGTTGTCTCTCACTGATATACCAGCCAATAAGAATTCTCCTTAGATTCCAAATTCAGACAACTTAACTTTACATTAACATCTCAAAAGGACACCAGTTTTTATGGATCTTTCTAATGAAGAATGATGAGTTTTGTAGCAAACTGTATTTAAGTGGGTTATGGCATTTTCATCTAATCAAAATCACTGCTAATATACTGTCAACTACCTAGAGCAATTGGATGTGGAATTCTGGGATCTAAAGTTCACATAACCTAACATTACCAAGGTTGAGAAATGTTGTTCTGGGGCTCTATCGCCATTTCCCAATTCTATTAATTTGTCATAAAATGTTCACTTACCCCTGACCATCCAAACGGCAGGAACCGTCCCTCAGCCCAGTATTCTCCATTCACATAGGTAAATCCTGCAATCATGATGAAGATCCATACAGCCAAATTGATCACATTCAACACATTGTTCAGTCCTACTGAGTTTTTCACTCCCAAAGCAACTATGATAGTTACAATCACTGCAATAGCCAAAGCTAGTAGATCGGGGTAAGACTCTTCCCCTTTACCTGTGGAAAAAAAATGATAAAGGGATTCCAGAAATCTAAACAGAATCAATATAATGGCAGAGAAAATAACTTCTGAGAAGGTTTCTTTTTAGGCATGTACTCCCATGCTAGGCTGTGCTCGTTCATATTTAACAGGACAGCTATATGACAATGATATCACATAGTTATCTTCATAGCTTCTCTGTGTTTTTTTCTCATCTTTCTGTGGGACCATTAGAAAACTTAGAATATAGAATAACAGAGTTGGAAGGGACCTTGGAGGTCTTCTAGTCCAACCCCATGCTCAGGCAGGAAACCCTATACCACTTCAGACAAATGTTGTCCAATCTCTTCTTAGAAACTTCCAGTGTTGGAGCATTCACAACTTCTGGAGGCAAGTTGTTCCACTGATCAATTGTTCTAACTGTCAGAAAATTTCTCCTTCGTTCTAGGTTTCTTCTCTTCTTGTTTAGTTTTGATCCATTGCTTCTTGTCTTGCCCTCAGGTGCTTTGGAGAATAGCTTGACTCTCTCTTCTTTGTGGCAGCCCCTTTAGATATCGGAACACTACTATCATGTCACCCCTAGTCCTTCTTTTCATTAAACTTAAAAAAAAAACACCAGATGCCCAAACTCCAACTGTTCTTTAATGATTTTATTTTTCCAGAGGAAAGGACAGAAAAGTGATGCCCTTCCCATACCATGCGCAGAAGTGGGTCAGAGTAGAAATTGAGTCTTTCTCCAACACTGGTGATAGGCTAATATTTTTTCTGTTGTTACTGAAAAAGTCAAAAGACTATGTTGACAGGCACAGGTACACCCTGTGTGGGGTATACTTTCTGAATCCCAAACCTTGCCATCTGAAGCACCTGTCTCATTCTGCCCAGTAGTAGAACTGACCCTATATATTGCATATTAATTTGGGGTCTGCGAACATTGAAATGGAGTCCCTGGGATTATTAGCAACATCCTGGCATGTTTACTTTCCAGCAAGAATTCAGTTGCTTTTCAGAGTACAACTAGCATGATCGGGCATAAAAGAAAAATAGTTTACATTCAGGACATTCTCACCCAATCCATTCAAAGTTCCAACGCTGTCAATCATCCAGTGACTGATGGTGTGATTGGCCAGGGAGTCAAACATGCTACTGAGAGCACTGGCACCAGCTGCTGTACCAATCAGATATTCGAGGATTAGGTTCCATCCAATAAAAAAAGCCACAAACTCTCCCACCGTCACATAGCTGTAGGTATAGGCCGAGCCTGTTGTTTTTGGTACCCGTACCCCAAATTCAGCATAACAAACCCCTGAATGGAGACAAGAAATAGAGACAACCATCAATAATTAGAATGCAGATGGAATAAAGCAAACAAAACTCAAATCCTATCAAGTATCTTCAAATCGAAAATGTATATTGCAAAGCCATTAGATTTTTGGGATTTTGTATATGGCATTCTTAAATGAAGTTTTAAATTCTTGTAATGAAAAGGAGGTGATAATCACATATAGAGAGGATCAGTCAGGACTTTCTCATCTGAATCTGGGTTACTTTGAATGTAAATTCTGCTATTTTGCTATTCTTTCATATAACTGGAATGCTCCAGTAATGCAAGTGGGGTGAAGCAGTAGGATGAATTAAATTTTAAGGAGTTGGGGAGTATTATCTCCCAAACATATCTTCTGCACACAGTGGCAGATTAAGGCTCACTGGTACCCTAAGCACCAACAAATCTTGGTGCCCCTCTCCTTTGTACATACTGTACAAATGAAGCCAAGCTTAAGCTACATAAAAGTTTTTATAGTGCCCCCTTTGGGCCTGGTGCCTTAAGCATGTGCTTAGTCTGCTTAATGGTTAATACACCCCTGTCTGCACATCATCGGCCTGCAAATATGCCCCTGAATACATTTTACATTTAAAAGAACACGGGGTAATAAATAGCCATTTCTCATACAAAATAATGCCATAAATGTTTAAAGCGTGATGATTATGCTAAATTATGCTATATCTACTCTTCTGATAATACTCTCTACTGCCCCATTGCTCCCCAGATTAGTTTTTGGGAATTTTCTCCCACAATAAGATGGAATTGTAGCCATTTTATTTTACCCAGTTTTGCAATAAAGCCATTGAATGTATTAAATGGCGCAGATGTTAATGGTTCCTTATGATACAAGTCAAAGATCTGGTACATTTCAATCTCTTTTTAAATGTACTCTTGGAAACAACAGCTTTCAAAGGGATATTTGAGACTTTTATTCCTATCAATGGTGTTCAGGGACTTGGTGCCCCTCTCCTTTGTACATACTGTATAAATGAAGCCAAGCTTAAGCTACATAAAAGTTTAAAGCTACATAAAAGGGAGTTTGACAAAGAAAACAAAAGAAATGAAAAAAAAAAACCCCACCAATTCACACTAACCCTCACCCGCAGCTGACTCTTCAAACTCTGGCTTGCATATAAAGTAATATTCAAAGCTGATTAAAAATGCATGCTGTCTACAAATGCAAGAGAGGAACAATGTCTGAAAGATTTATGAAACAGATGCCATGGGTGTTCAGTTCCAGGCTTGGTCTTGTTCTGACTCAAAATGAAGTTGGCTACTAACTTTTGCCTGTGGGGAAATAAGGTTTAATGAAATGTGTACCTTATCTGGGTTATATGATCTAAACAGGATTAGATCTGGTTGGTGCACTTGGAAGACTATAAAAAAAATTGTAGAACTGTAGGTTAAAGTTTTTTTTTGGGGGGGGGGAATTGGGAAAAAAGAAGAAAGAAACCCATGGGAGTAAGGTTACCAAGCTCCTTCTCCAATGTTGCTGAAAACATTGTGTAGATGATGCAGTTATTAAAATTGAGTGCTCATTAAGAAGAAACTAACTAGCTGGTTATAGTTTTTGTATGAAACATTTGCATACAAGCAGTCCTCAACTTATGACCACCATTGAGTCCAAAATTTCTGTTGCTAAGACAGTTGCTTAAGTGAGTTTCATGTAGGAGATGATTAGGGTGAGCCTAAGGGAGGGGTCAAATGCATCATCAGCCATGAATCCCTTCACATCCACAACAGATCTAAGTCCAGCCCACCGTGAATTCCTTATCTACCACCAAGTTGTTCTGACCTTTAGTAGTTCAGGTTCTTACAGAGAGCTTAAGCTTACAATTAATCTTTATAACCATTTTGAACTGCTTGGATCTCCTGATTTGCCTGGTGCATTTTGCCCCATTTTAGGACCTTTCTTGCCAAGAATTGTTAAGTGAATCGCTGCAGTAGTTAAGTTAGTAACACGTTTGTTGAGTGAATCTGGCTTCTCCATTGACTTTGCTCATCAGAAGATCTCAAAGGATGACCACAAGATCCCAGGATATTGAAACTGTCCTAAATACAGTAATGCCAAGTGGCCAAATTTTGATCACATGGCCATAAAGATGCTGCAACTGTCATAAGTGTGAAAAAATGGTCATAAGTCACTTTTTTCAGCGCTGTGGTAATTCTGAATAATCGCTAAATGAATTGTTGTAAGTCGAGGACTATCTGTAACCTTCTCTTCCTCCAAAGTTCTGTTCCAAAAGGCACAAGAAATGGGCTCCAGGAGAAAATCCATGCCTGTTCAATGTCAACTCATAAAGAATTTCTAGGTCTGTTTTCGAGTTGCCATATGCAGGAGGGTGGGGGAAACCAGAAGTACATTCCACGCATATCTCACAAAGATTGTAGCTACACTACTGGATCCTCTGCCCATGAAAATCCTTCATTGGAGAATCTGATTGATGACACACCCAGGGAGGAGGGAGGAAACAGGGTCACAGGTGACCGTAAATCACATATGTCAAAGTTGGCTTCAACTGACATGTTGCTCCTAATAAATCTTTTGGATTCTTTTGATTTGAGGCTCATGATTTAATTAGGGCAAACGCCAGAACCCTGATATTCAATCCTTTTGGAAAGGCACCCTGAAAGGAAAGCTGAAAAGACCTTTCATCTCACCCAACAATTACTCAAAGCCCATAGGTTGCACAAGAAATGAATAAGTAATTAAACTAATTTACCAGATACATATAAATAGAGATCAAATCAATGCATTCCACTTGAAAGCATCAGACCCAACACATATTTTAATAAATACTTGGCATCTGGAAGATGTTGACCATTTTGGACTAATTTTGTGCATGTACAATTAAAGGTGTTGATATCATTTCCATCACCTTTACTAACAATGCGCATGGCCATAAAAGTGGAAAGACCTGAGAAGCTTTTGGTCAAAAATTCAAGCCAGCAGAAGTAACAGAACAGAAACATTTTCCTCTCTGTCACCCAAAAAATAAATAAATAAAATAAAATAAATGCGAGGAGGCTGCCCTAGAAAAGTAGCTTTTGAGCAGAGATCTAAAATTAGTAAGAGGCATGACATCATGTGAGCCTAAGACAAATGAAAAAAAAATTAAAGCAGATTTCCACTGGATGCCTTCAGATGTTAATTTAAAAATTGAATCATGAGTCCATTAGAAGCAGGCAGGAACAAGACAGAGCTGGAGGCCCTGCTGTGATCAGGGTAGAAAGAAGAGAAGGAGAAAACAAGGCAGTCCTTCTTAATGTCCCCTTTCCATATCTGTCATTCACCTACAATGGCCAGGGTCACAAATCTTTTCAGCCGGTAGCCACCAGCCATAAATGCCATTCAACAAATAGCAACACTTCTACAAAGAGGTCCAAAAAACTAGACTGAAATAACAGGGGAAAAGAAAAAAAATGTTTTGTAGTATCCAATCTGGGTCGGTCACTGGAACCAAAGGTTTAGTCTTCTGAGTTTTCAGACTTGCGCTGGAGTCCACCCTCAGGGAATTTTTCTCTAGCAATGTGCTGTGTGTGGTATTTATATGGGGACTGTCTATGTGTGGCTTTTTAGTAGTTGGAGTGTTGATGGCTGGCTATTGACTGTTGTTTCCTTGTGCTGCCAAGTCCTTTCCTCCTAAGTACCCGAGAAGCAGTCAACATTCCTGTTGACTGTTGAGTGGCCCCTTTCCCAGGCTTCAATCACTTCCTCGGCTGTTTTTGTGCCTACTCATCCAACAATCTTGTAAAATTGAAATTATGTCCTTATTCATTGCAATGTGAGGCTACTAATGATTTTGGGTCTCTTTGTCTGACAGCTTGCTTGTGTTCTTGCAGTCTGATGGTTAGCTCCCCTGTCTGTCCTATATACTCACAGGGGCAATCCATGCAGGTGTTGGAAGAAATATCCAGGTCCAGTTCCAAGCCGGGAGAAAGGCATTGGAGACAAAATGAGGGCTGGAGGCTGATTGGAAAGAGGATCCATGTATGGATGAAGCAGAAGCACATGGGTGGTTCTGGGCAGCTGACCACATGGAGTTGAGAGTGAGGGGTATTTATATCTTCTCGTGGGCTTTGAACTTGAGCTTCCTGTTCCTGTTCAAGAACATGTATTCTATTGGCTGTTGTAGAGGTCATAGCTGGCTCTATAGGTTGTCTGAGCCAAGCTCAATCTGTTGATGCAATGAAAGGGCTTGTTGGGCAATTCCTATTGTGCCTGAGGGCTAAACCTACCTTTGTTCAGACCTTGCTGCAGGGAATTTGCTTACAAATAGAGCTACCTAGATCTCAATAAGCCCTTTATCTCTTAAATGCTGACATCTGCTGAGGACCATCAAGAAAGGTGGAGGCTGCTTTCTGTCTCCAAGAGCATGTTTCTCAATTTCTCATCCAGGGAAATATAATATTCTGCCTTTTTCATATTTCTCAAAATATTTCATTCTTCTAGGAGAGGGGTGGGTGCTAACTTTCTACACAGGAGATCTAGTAGATTACACTGGAAGTATCTCCTACCTCCAAGCAATCTTTGCAATGAATAATTTACCATATAAAGAATAGCTCAAAGCATACACTCTGCTAGAGAGAAGTTCCCTGAGGATGGGCTCCAACACCAATCTGAAAGCTCGGAAGAACGAACCTCTGGTCCTGGTAACCAATCCAGACTAGATTCTGCAACACTATCCTGGGACATGTTGCCTTCATTTGTGAAAAATTCTGTTGTCTATTACTAAGAAGCCAAATTAACAATTATGTTTAGAGAAGGTGCTATTTATTTAAAACAATTATCTTCTAAAACAGCAAAAATATGCTTTGACCTCCCTTGGAAGATGTCTAGTTTTCCTCTTTCCCCCCTTGATGTGTAAAACAGTAGATCTATACATTCTGATACCTGGAGGCCTGGCATTATCTGCAAGAAATCCAATTATTCTGCAACCAAGTCATTTGGTATGTGAAAATAATACAGCTGTTGATTATTG